CACACATGCACAGACACACACACACTGCAGCAAGCTTACACGCAAATGTCTGCACAAACACACAAACACTGCTTCCATCAACACAGACATTTAAAACTGCGCACACACATAGAGTAAACAAATATTCAGTGAATTGCAAACACGCGCATGTACTGCACCCTCGCACACGGCCAGCTTCTCAACAGAAGAGACACACGAATATACAGAATAATATGCTGCAAAAGCACACACATACAAACACCTAGAGTGCAATGAATTCACGCAGACACACACACAAACTAGAGTCACACTCTCTGTGCCTCCCAGTCTCACACAAAACAGATAAACAGAAATAGGTATCCTGTGCCCACAGGGTGCCCTCGCCCCCGACCATCTGCGACGGGTGCCAACACACAGTGGGTGATATTTACATGGAGACCCCCCTCCACTACTCCCCTTCCTACCACAATCACACACACACACAAACACACACACACACAAATTTAAAAAAAAAAAAAAACGAAGGGAAGGGAAGAAAGAAAGAAAGAAAGAAATACCCACAAAGGGCCGCTTGGATCGCTTGATCTCCCAAAACTCATTAAACATGCAAATATATGTAAATATATGCACCTCTAGAAATCCACCTTGGGCCAAAGTGAGTGAGTGTGTGTGAATGAAAATGCATGTTTGTTTGCGTGTGATTGTGTTTCTACTTCAGGCTTTGACAGTGTTTCTGCCAAACTTGATACTGTGTGCAAGTATGTTGCTGTTACAGTAACTACAGAAGATGTTCTTACACTGGTTTTACCAGAGGTCAGCAGTACTTCTCCCCTGTACAGGTAGTACATAACATTGTAGGATAACTTTTTAAAGTCCGAAAAAAATCTGCCTTTTAAAAATGGGACCTAACATCACCTCTAAGAATATGAGACTGCAGCGAGTATATTTTTCTCATTTCTGAATTATTTTTCAGTGTAGAGTTCATAAAAGCCCCAGATACACATTTTCTCCTTCGACAAGTAAAATCCAGCTTTCCAATTAGTTACTATAGTCAAACCACATTCAGTTCGATTTTATTTATACAGCGCCAAATCACAACAACAGTCGCCTCAAGGTGCTTTATATTGCAAGGTAAAGACCCTACAATGATACAGAGAAACAATCAGATGACCCCCTATGAGCATGTACTTGGCGACAGTAGGAAAGAAAAACTCCCTTTTAACAGGAAGAAACCTCCAGGAGAACCAGGCTCAGAGTGAGGCGGCCACCTGCCAAGCCTGAGGATGAGGGGAGGAAGACAGGACACAACATTCATCGGGCCTGTACAGTTAGACTAAAAACATAAAATCCAGTTAGTGTAATACTTTTTCAAAATGCAACGTCTAAAAAGTAAATATCAGAGCACTGCATCTAATAGCACACGCTTGTATTTAATACCAAATATGATGATGAAGCAAATAAAACAACCTTATCGTAACAGTCTGGTGTTTTTAACGAACACCATCTTACCCCAGAAGGGTTTATCATTTACCCAGCGAGAATGAACAACACAAACTGTACCATATTCATCAACTCAAGGTGGAAGACAGTGGCAGAAACTGCGTAGTTAATACTTTATCTTCAGGTTTTTCTATTATCACTTAGTCACGGTGTATGTGTGTGTGTGTGTCTGTGTTTGGTTTGTGTAATCTGTTGGGGAGACAAGAGGGGAAAGACTCCTGAAGGAGCACAAGGGATGAAGATGGTAAATATATGATCTGTCTATCACAGACAGCAAGGGTGGCTGTTTGTGTGTCTGAGCGTGTGTGTGTGTGTGTGTGACCACAGTGCTGCAGGCTAAATAGTGCTATTATATTCCTACAGCCGCTCTAGTCACAGTCAGCTCGAGTCTCAAAGTCCTCTGGGAATCAGAGATGTCGCTGCTCAAAGACTGCTGCCACACTGCTATAAACACACACACACACACACACACACACACACACACACACACACACACACACACACACACACACACACACACACAAACCTACCCTGTGGGCATGGCAGGTGGGGTGGGAGAGCAACGTATGTGTGTTTATATTTTTGCCGTGTTTTTTTCTGCTTGTGTGTTTGTGTGTATAAGGTCTCAGTGAAAGTGGAGCACAGTAATGACACCCTTCTATAATATTCTTTGAAAACTCATTGTATCAGGCAGCAGAAGGAATGGAAAAAAAAACTGCTGTCAGTCATAGTTACCAATTAGAAGAGTTGTTACTGTACCACACACGCACACAGTAAAAGACTTCGTACAGTGAAATTACAAAGAGGGATACTTCCCTCATACCTTTCATGGTAAGTCACAGTGTAGTTAGGTTTTTTTTTATATTCTCAGGTTTTAAGATATCATTCGTCCGTCTAGGGCTGGGACTATTGATGATATAAACCTAATCATAATTGAGTTCATTTCAAACGTTGATTTAGTGTAGCAATATTAGAATAAGCACAAACTAACAATTTATGACATCATCTACAATTTAACTTAATGAGCCCCCGATTCATATACATGTGACACATGCTCTTTTAACAGCAAGACATGATGCTTCCAGATTCTGTTTCAATACGAGTCATAACTGGCCTGAGATATGAAGCTCCCTGACTATAAATAAACTAGTTATTTAGAAAACATTTATCCTTGTTTAACTTGTATTTTGCAGCTCACATAAATCTCACTCCTTTTACAGCTCCTGCTAGGAAGTTTGAAGCTTAAAAGTCTTTAACCTCAACAAAATTTTAACTTAAAGTGTTCAGATTGTTAAAAAGAAAATGTGCATAGTCCACATCGAGGTCTGTTGATTATCAAGGAAAGTGGGGACACTGATTGCGGTGGAGATGAATCTGGTAAAATAACACCAAAACCACTGGTGACGACATTCACCACAGAGAGGAAAAAATGTCTACATTTGGGTGAAATTACCATTTTATCTTCTTATGGGCCATCCTTAATGACAGCGTGCATATTGTAAACTGCACGCTGTCATTAAGGATGGCGGTGGGATTTCCATATTGTGCAATACTGTCTCTGGTCAACAGTAAAAGCAGGGAGGTGAGCTGAGGCACCACAGATGGCGGTAGAGTGAGCACAAGGGAGAGCAGTTATGACAAGAGCGAGAGAGAGTATGTATTTCCAGCCCCGCATTCCCGTCTCCTTCACAACGCTAGAAGGTCAGCTGAGCCTCGAGCCATAACACTCGCTCCCTTTTCACTTCAGTCCCACTTTTATTCCTAGTAGAACCACAGCGCTCTTTGACAATTGTCATCATGACGAATCAATACGGACTTCTCCACAGACCCCGTGTCCCTCAGCCCCCGTTCTCTGCCGCCCTTGAGTTTTTAAACACAGATCCAAAACATAGTCCAGGTAAAGTCCCTTCCCAGGGCTCCATGTTATAGGTTACCCTTGCCTCTCTCTAAAACTCCTCTTTTTTCTTAGTCCTGTATGTCCTCTGGTTCTCTCCATGTATCAGTGTCAGATTTAATTGGCGTAGCTGCTTGTCAGAGGCTTTTTGTAGCAGCCTGCCAAATGTCAAAAACCATTAAAAATGACAATTTGTGTTATTTAGCAATCAATATCTATACACTTTCGGAAAAGAGAGATTTTGATTCATATAGTTGGACATTGTTGTTCAACTTTAGCCATGTAAGTCCTTGGTATCCCCCTCCCCACCCCACCATGCTAACGCACTGTCTCCTTTTCAAGCACCCCGTATTTGTGAGAGTGTGTACATGTTGCTCTCCAATCTACGGCAGAGCTGACATCCAGCATGAAACCAATCAGTGTGTGGGTGTGTGTATGGGCTGATTAGTGGCGTGCTAAGGCATGCGGCACGTCAGATGCGAGCGTTAATTCGTGTTGCGAGCATCGCGGCGACTTGTCTCGGCCCTCCGGTAATGAGCAACGGCACCGTTATGTGGCTCGGCTTCACGGTGCTTCTTCCCCATCTCTGCGACACACTGGGCCCTGGTAATTGGTCACAGAGGGGACAGTAAATCTGTACGAGGACGTGGGAGAGACACAGAGACATGGAGCCAGAGAAAAGAAAGAGTGTGTGTGTGTGTGTGTATGTGTGTGTGTTTGCATGTGTGCGAATTTGCAGGAGGAGGTAGGTGACGAGGACGGAGGGGGGGTGTCTTTCATCTTCACAGCTTTTTCTTTATAAACCTCCAACTGTTTACAAGGACTGACGCCTATTTGCACACACACAAATACAGACACACACACATTTCTACATAGCGAGTCGTCCCCCCCCCAACTGCTACCACCCACACATATACAGTAAATGACCTCAGCGCGCTACTGTCTGAGAGTATGGATTCTAATCAGATGTCGGCAGTATTGTGCCTGTCAAACCCGGCCAAGGTTACTTAACCTTCCAGTCTTAATTTCCCTTCCATTTTAGCTCCTTCCTCCATATCAAACATCAGCACATCTATGAGAGGAAAAAAAAGAAAGAGTGTGGGGAGGAAAATGAAGATTGCCATGCTTGGCTGAATCTTGGAGATGAAAGTAGAGGATGATTCACATTGCTATTGCAAAATGAACTGAACCAAGCTGAGCTGAGCTGTGCCGGGCTGGGCTATTTTTAAACTTCTATACAACACAGCTACTGGAAGAGGACAATGTGAAGCGGAGCAAATTATTTCTATATCATGAGGGAAGGTATGCGAAACAAGGCCTCCAGGAGAGCAAAGTTAGTATATAAACTATGTCACAAAGATTTTGGCTACTTTTTCTTGTCACTTCTTTACTAGTTTCCAAGTCATATCAGTTATTAAGAGACAGACAAAAGGCGTTTAGTGTAATTACTACTTTTTATAGTTCAAAGCTAGCCAAATGTTTTAACATGCTGTATAAAACACATGAACATGTTATTAAGAACCACTAACAATGTTAGCTTCGCTAAATGCTAACATCAATTGTCATTAGTGGTCATGGGGACAATAACAAAACAGATGTAGTGATGTTTAATGGCTTGTCTACATACCTCAAACTTGGATGTTGGAATGCCAGAGTTAGCACGTTACAGCAAGGAAAAACAGGATTTGTTTTGATTCTTAGCAAGGCAGAATCATTCAGGTATCGTGAGCAATGCAGTATAATACTTTTATTTGCACTTAAAAACACCACTGCAGCACACTTATTCAGGAATGCACCATTACTTGTTATCATTTGCTAAATAGCAACCAGGGCTAACAGTTAAACACTGATAGGAGCAGCTTTTCTTTCTCACCTGGAGGCTCCAGCGGCCTCGTGGCTGCTCACCCCAGCAGTGCACAGTCATCAGAGTCCAGTTCTTCAGTCCAGCGGTGGAGGCATCATAAGGCCTCGTATCCAACAGCACCGACACTGTGCCACCAGGAGACACCAGGCTTATGGATAGGTCACCACGGCACGCTGCGTTGATACTCACTCTCACCTGTTGAGAGACAGATGGCAAGCTCCATGAAGGAATAGTTCCACATTATAGGATATTCACTTTCTCATCTTCTTCCTATAATAAGCTCGATACAACTGTTTGGTGAGCTAAAACATGAAAAAGCTGCTAGCAGCCACTTAGCTCCCTTTAACATAAAGGGAAACTGTCGATCTGATTCTCTTAATTAGCCTGACTGTTTTACATGTATCATATTCAGCTTTTATATCGGTTTGTTTAATCTGCTCGGGTAAAAAACTTGTATTTTTTGTGTTAACTGAGAGTTTCTACCAGAAGATTTACAACTTCATATTGATGAGAGGAAATTACTGTGCTGGGGTAAAAGATAGTTCCATTTATAATGTCCTATTAAACTGCAGATTGCTGTTTTATACTGTTTTAAATATCTTTGTGCAGTTTAAACAAAAAAGAGACAACATAGCAATTGGCGAGTTTTTGCTGACAGATTCTGCTAACCTTGCACCAAGTCAATATTAACTAATTTCCGTTGTTTCCATTTTTCCCCCCAGTTTTAGTCATGCAGATTTAACCATATCTACACTGTAGCTTCATATATAAGAGACAACTGGCATCCATGCTTTCATCTGACTCCCTCCAAAAATGGCATATTTTTCTAGCACTTTCTTTGAATGTGCCTTCTTAATCAATTTGCTGTTTTAATCTTTGACATCCTAGATAAGACATGTGATGAAGGAACAAACAATGTACTTCCCTCCCTGATAAGGTCCGCTGACTAATTATGAAAATAGAACAGAGAGTGCTGTATTGCTTAAATCTAAATCTAAATCCAATAAGTATTGTCTGAGATAATGTGGCACATAGATGGACAAGCCAAAAATATGTCCATAGCCAGGCAAAGACAAAGGGAAGCAGGTGAAGAAAGTATAATAAATGGAACACGATTGTGCAGGATATTAGCTAAATGATTTAAATAAGCCCATATCCCCTGCCACCACCAGTAGCACCCAGTAAACACCCTCCCTGTCCCTGTTCATCACAAGCAGCACATCTGGTGTGACAATGGCACATCGCAGAGAGAGCCGCCAAGCTGCAAAAAGACTGACAGCCCGCTCCTGTTTACGGCGTGTTACCACGGCAACACATCCATCAATCACACCTCGCAGCGATGGCCTGACCCACGCTTTCTGCCAGGGAGCAGAGCCGCAAAGATGAAGCCTTTTCAATTTGCATGCTGACACACTCTCGCTCGCTCTCCTTCTCTCTCCTCGCCATTTCACAAGTACACACATTCACAAACACAGAATACTCGCACAAACTGAGCCGCGCACAGACACGTACAGTACGTATGCCTGCTGACACAATCAAACATAAACACATTTGCATGTATGTGCCTGTGCTCAAGAAAACTCAGTTTTGCCATTTTCTGCAAATTACACTGCCAACACATTGCACATCACAGTATGATGTTTTTTTTTATCTCCTCTATTCTCAGATAAAGCACATGACACTGAAACCCCAAAACAATTTATATGGCATCTTCAAGCTCCCTCGACTGTAGGCAGAAGTTAACTTTTGAATGCACTTGTGCTTGATTTCTGTCCTGTCAAGGGCAACAGGAACATTGAAAGACTATAGGAGTAGATTTACATCACACTTCAATATTTTAAAAAGCATCTTCATCAGTCACGTTATTAGTACACCTGTATGTGTAGCATGTTAACGAAAGTATCTAATCAGCCAGTTATATGGCAGCAGCTCAAAGCATTTAAGCATGTAGACAACTTGCTGAAATGGAGCATCAGAATGGGGAAGAAATGTTACTAAAGTGACTTTGAATGTAGCATGGTTGTTGGTGCAAGAAAGACTGTTCTGGGTATTTCAGACGATGCAGTGATTTTCCCACACAATCATCTCTAGGGTTTAAAAGCAATGGTGTGAAAATGAAACGATCCAGTGAGCAGCAGTTCCCTGGAAAAAAAAATGCCTTGTTGATGCCAGAGGTCAGAGGAGAATGGCCTGACTATGTTAGGCTGATAGGAAGGCAACAGTAACTCGAATAACCACTTGTTACAACCAAGGTATGCAGAAGAGCATCTCTGAATGCACGTTTCTTCAGAAGAAGACCACACTGGTCCTGTCAGCTAAGAACAGCAAACTGAGGCTACAGTTTTCACCTGATTAATGACCTAATTTCTGCTCCAACACTCGGATGATATGGTTGGAATTTTTCATAAACACCATAAAAGCATAGATCCATCCTGCCTTGCATCAGCAGTTCAGGCTTCTGGTGACACTCAGTGACTGGACTGACACACACACACACACATACCTTCACACACTTCACTACCTCAAGCACCTATCTGTACAATGTCACACAGACACACACACACATTAATACATCAAGTTACTTTTTGCACAATGCTCAGTCTTTTGCACAACCCACTGTCACTGTTGCACTTTTCTATTGCACTGTTGTGTCTGCATTGTTCTGTTCTGTCTGGTGTTGCACTGTTTTTTGCAATTTTTGCACACTTGCACTTTATGTAGTCCTGTGTTGATTGTCTGTTATATGCACATGATTGAAATGACAATAAAACCACTTGACTTGACGGTGGTGTATTGGTGTGAGGGATATCTTCCTGGCAAACTCTGGGCCCTTTAATACTGTTTAAACACCAAAGTCTACCTGAGTATTGTTGCTGACTATGTCCATGCCTTTAGCAGGGTAACACAGCATGCCACAAAGCTCATATCTTTTCAGACTGGTTTCTTGAATGTGAAAACAAGTTCAATGTACTCAAATGATTTCTACAGTCACCAGATCTCAATTCCATAGAGCACCTTTGGCGCGTAGTGGAACGGAAGATTTGCATCAAGGATGTGCAGCCAAGAAATCTGCAGCAACTGTATGATGCTATCATGTGAATATGGATCAAAAACTCTGCGAAATATTTCCGGCACCTTGTTGAATCTGTACCATAAAGAATTAATGTAGTGCTGAGAGCAAAAAAAAGAGTCCAACCCTAAACTAGCAAGGCGTACCTAACATGGAGTGTGAATGTATATGCCTATGCTATTGAAAAAAACTCACTTTTGGAATCTTTCTTTGAATTTTTCTGTAATAGTTTAACATTTTTGAAAACAAACCTGTTCACTTTCTTGCTGTAATTTTTTTTTTATAGATTGATATGTTATGGCTCATATCATGCACACTCAGTGTAAAGACAAAGGAGAAGGTAAAGTCTTTATAAAGCCTTTAAAAAATGGAAAGGAGACAAGTAGCCTGCTTCTGTTTACTGAAGTCCACCTGCTAGCTCCTCTGAAATTCACTAATTCACCGTTTTCAGTTTTTCGTGTATGCTTAATCTGGAGAAAACTTCTCAGTGAGTGGAGAGTAATATTTCTTTGCAAGTAGGTGAATAATTGCATTTACCAAAAACAAATTAATGCCAAAAAATGTTGTAAAATGTCATGTATTTAGTCAAAAAAATAAAAAATTACCCACCTGGACATGCTCAAGAGTGTTGATCTCATTAGCCCTTCCTCGACAGGCTTCTGATTGGATGTTCACATTGACTCCTTGCCCTGGATAAAAGATTCTAGCCAATACAAAATCATTACCTCTGTAAGTCGAAAGCCTCAAAAGCCTCTTCTCACATGCTCATTTCACTTTCATATGTATGCATAAAGCAGTGACAGGACAGATGAAGTTGAGTTAAAGATCATGGATGCTGATATCAAAACCAGTTTCTTGGGGGCTAATCTGAAAATCCTTAGCAGATAGAGTCAATAAAGTTTTTTTTTTTAAAAAAAAATCTTTGTATTTTACCTGGCAGGATCAAGCGTGACTTCTTGTGTGCACTTCTTCTGTGAAGGAACACTGTGGAAGTGTGTGGCCTGCTGCACCATCAGCCCTGCATCCAACAGTCCAAAGCCGTACCTGCAACAAGGAAGGAAGAAGCAGTCCATTATGTGTATTTGTGAATATGATGAGCAGGAGCATGGTGTTGCGTTTTTATCCTCACAAACGTGAAATTGGAGGCTTTTTATGTGGGTGGCTGAATGTGGCTGCAGGAGCAGAGTAAGTGCTAATGGCTCCGACACGAGGAGGCAACAAGTCATTGACGAAGATGATGTTGTCCTCTGACACAATCGCTTCCCGCTCTGTCCGTGCTGAGGCTGAGGGCTGCTGTTTGTGCGCCTGTAATTGCCTGGAGGATTGATTCTGAACAATGTGCCATCTCACGGACTGTAATCAAGCCTCATTATTCATTCGTTACTACCCCAATCTTGGTGCTGGAGACACAATGGCCGACCCTTAAGCGGCGTTGCTGCCTGGTGACTGTATGACCACTGCTTATCATGCTCTCTTCTCCACTTTACTACTCATCCCTTTTGGATCTTCCCCTCTCATCTTTCCTCTTTGGCCTCTCTTTTTCATAGAGCAGCCTGCTATTCAGTCTTGGTTTCCTCTCTAAATTCTCCTTCACCCTCCTTCATCAAACACAAATTTCTTGCATCAGAACTCTTCGCAGCCGCCTCAGTGATGCTGAAATCACAGTCTTCATAAGTCTCTCTTTAATTCTCCCTCAAATCTTTCATTTTCATGCACTTCTCCGCTCACTGTTCCCTTTTGTTCAAATCGCGCTCCTCAGACTGAGTAACGGGGCAATAACAACCTTCATCGCCCCTCCTTCTTGGAAATTCAGAGGGGGTGACAAAGAGCTAATTCCTGCCATTATTACCATACAGACCTTATGACGTTAATCTGCAATAAGTGAAATTCATTATCCTGATGACGGGGTCTCTCGGAGCAGCAGAGCGAGAGACGGAGACAGGAGAAAGGAGAGAGCTGATCAATAACTCAATCTGCTGCCCTGCATGGGGCTCCATCTCCTCTGTCTCAGACTGTCAGTGTTTCGGAGGAGGAGACGCAGGATCTGCAGCCCGCATCATGCTCGTCCTAACAGCACGCAGTGCAATCAATGGACACAATCTAATCAGCCACTATCACCACCAGTGACTTTTAGCGTGTAGGGCCCGGCATAACAGCATTAAGCAGACGGCTGTTTGGGGTTGAGGTGCGCTATAGAAGTTCAAGGTTATTCAGAGGTTTTGTGAAAGCTGTGAAGAGCTTGAGCAAAACACAGCCGACAACAGCTCAGTGCAGAGAAGTGATTCCTCGTCTTACCCCCTTTATCCTAATGAGTTCTAAATGTGCTTATTGTATATAAATGAAGATGACAATGTCTTTATTTATTGATCAATGTGTGTTTAGAAGTCACCAAAACTGAACTGATGACTAGGAGCTGTGGCCCTGAATTCGCCCTAATACATATTTAAAGATGGATTGCTGTTATTGCTTAATGTTTTTTTGTGTTGTCAGTGCACCAAAAACTAAAGTACAATGTCTCTGAACTCTTTGTAATTTACTCTTGAATATTTTAGATAGACTGTTTGATTGAAAACAAAATCTATATGTGAAATCTACACCTTTTTGCTGAAAATGGTGCAAAAGGAGTTTTTCCTTCCCACTGTTGCCAAAATGCTTGCTCACAAGAAGTCATATGATTGTTGTGTTATTCTCGTATGCATTATTGTAGGGTCTCCCTTACAATATAAAGGGCTTTGAGGCAACTGTTGTTGTGTTGTTGGTGCTGTATAAGAAAAATTGAATTGAATTGAAAATGCATAGTATTTAAGTAGCAACAAGATAGCTGTTGCACTGATGCACATTTGAGGTTCGCAGCAGCTTCAACTATTTGGTAATGGACAGATAAACCGATCAGGCATAATATTATGATCACCTGCCTAATATTGTGTTGGTTGGTGTTGGTCTCCCTTTTACTGCCCTGACCTCTCGAGGCATGGACTCCTAGACCCCTGAAGGTGTGTTTTGGTATCTGCGCCAGATCCTTTAAGTCCTGTAAGTTGTGAGGCAAGGCATCATTAGATTGGGAATGTTTATCCAGCACATTCTACTGAATTGGATTGTGATCTGGGGAATTTGGAAGCCAAGTTAACACCCCAAACTCGCTTCTGTGCTCATGTTATGTCACACTCGCCAAGTAGTAAGTCTGACTTTTAGCTTTTTTAAACCTTATTTTGGGCAAAATGTTTTTTTAATTTTCAGATTTAATAATGAACTTGTTAAGTTTCAGTGTGACCAGTGAAATTAAAGTTACAGTTCTCTTTCTAGTCATGCACACAGGGGCATTGAAATAACTGCTGATTGCTGACAGTTGTTTCGTGAAGAACTTTGGACAGCTTATTAAATGTCATGTTAAACATTAAATGTCAACACTACATAGCAGTTTGTAATGCTCTGAGACAGGAGCTTACAAGCCACAAACACTATCTAAGCAGCAGCCACAGAGCACTTCAAGGAGCAGCTGTCAATACTTGAAATTCCGAAAGTTACCAAAATAAATTAGCCAGATAGGGGAATAGTTGGAAATGGGAAAACACAACGGAAACACTAGCACTAAAAATAGATTACCCAAGATATTTCACAGTGTGGAGGAAAATTGATACCTTGACTTCTCATAAAACAAACTGTTGGTGACCAGGCCTTGCCACCATGCTCCCTCTTAGTGATTAAATGTATCCCTCCTACCCAGCGCCCCTTAGCAAGAGTTGTGCACCTATTAAATCGTATGGCTCCCACAGATCGATCGGGCTTGCCCCAGCTCCACAGCCATAAACCCACACCGGCATACAGTGTATCTGATAGAGAAAGCTGCAGGAAACAAGTTCCCCCACGAAAGAACATGATGAAAATGACAGATTTTATGTCCCCTGCCATGTCAGTGAAACAGCACTACTGAGCCAGGGCACTTTTCAAGTAGACTCCCCAGCCTTTTCAGACGTCTCATCATCAAGAGCAAGGACTGGAGAGAGTCGTGCACCTTCTAAATAGCATTGTGATTTCTGGAAGCGTGTGCAGGATTTGTGAGTAGTTTGATATCAGGATTGCATGTGATTGAGATTTTTATTTTCTTTCATTTTTTTGGAATCCTGCAAATGTCTTTAGGATAAAACCCACATAGTGTAAAGCATATCAAGTAATTAGTCAGAAAAACACAGTCATCCAATTTTCAACTTGTTCCTTCTCCACCTCCTGCGTGGTCGGAAGGAGGCTGAGCCAAGCCGATTACAGAATGACAGCCGATCTTCTGTCCACGCAGCACGAAGCATGTTAAACCCCCTCCGACCCCCCGCCTCCTCACATATGGAACCCACGGTCCTCACATTTTCTCTATCCACTTTCACTCCTCGATGGCAAATGCCCTTCCAATCTCTTACTCCCTCCTTCTTTTTATCTATTAACATGAAGGCCACTCCCCCCCACCCCCCAACCCAACACACACACATGCACACACACACACACACCGCTCCATGGGGCCTCTTTGTAACTGTCGAGGAACCCTTTTCACTTTTTGTTCTGTGGGGTTTCCCAGGTCCTTTCTCTGTTGATATTCACACCATCTGCCAAAAGCAGAGGAAGGTGCACACAAACCCAACTCGCACTTAGACATAGAGATCTTTGGGGGTTAAGGTCTTTCCTTCGTCTTTTTGCACATGGCGCTGAAAACACAGCTTTAACAACCTCTATCCTGTAACCAAAACAGATTTCTGCAGCTACCAGGGGACCCAGCTACGGCGGTCTCAACCCTTGTTTGCAGTGGTACGTCCTGCTAAGTCCCCCCCAATAGAAGTGGCTGTAAAGAATCACTCAAGCCGCACTAAGCAGCTGCCTGTGAGTTAGGTCATTTTCCCAGGAGCCACAGAGTGGGCATTGGCAGGACCTCAAAAAAGGGGGACACCATCTGTTCAGCGCCTGAAAAGGTTGGTGACACCTTCTGTGGTACCAACAACTTCTAATTAAGTGGCCAGGAATGCTGCAGCAGCTCCAACACATGATTGGTGGACTTGCCTTAGTTACCCTCTCCATCACATCTGGGCACCCACTAATGAAAAATGATCGATGAGAGAAAACAAGATCGCTTGGTGAAAGTGATGTGACTGTAGAAACCTAAGAAAAACTAGATTTTCTTTTGTGTGGGTTTTTTGTTTTTGGTTTGGTTTTCTTGCCCTCCTTTTGTTGCTCTTAATTGAATGTTTATCAGGAGCATAAAACAACTGCATTAGCCCTTTGGTCAATCCCAGCGTGGTTGGTTTCGGTTATATCATAATGCACTAATTTCATTAACATTAGGATTTAAATGAAATAACAAATAGACTTAACATTCTTCTGATTTCCATCGCTCTTGCAGCCAAATCTGCTGCTCAGAAATGTTACTAATTAGGCTTATTAAGTAATTAAGAAGAGGTCTTAATTATATCTGCGCCACTGGGACCTGCACGGCTGTAATCATGAAATGCTGTGCCGCGCAGCTCAGCTTTGTTGGTGTGGATGTTACACAGTTTCATCCATTAAACTGTTCTGAATGTGTGTTGGGTTTTTTTGTTTTTTCATTTGTTTTTACAAAGAAAAAAAATAGATTTTGAAATATACTTTTAGTGCTGTATTAGACAAATATCTGCATGATGTTAAATTACAGAGAGAGAAACACTCAGCAGCCTTCAACAGCACAGTCTCAAAATGCCAAGTGAATTACCTTGTGAAGAGTTAAAAGTTTAATGAAATATATTGCGGGGAGGAAAATGAGGGGTTTGGCACGAGCATGGGACTTAGTCTCGAGAGAATGGGCCCCGAACAGCCCTTTCAGTTTTCTATAGCCATCAGTCAAAGCAGCAGCCACCCGTTCCCGTCTTTTACACAAGGAGACTTCTCTGGAAGCCATGATGATCTATACCCCATGACCTCACTCTCAGTGTCCAACATATTTTGATTTGTAGCTCGAGTGTTATTCAAACACAAATTCAAAAGAGGATGAAATTCGGCAGAGAGCTTTTGTTGGACGCGCACCAAGGTAC